CCCCAAAACCCCAAAACCCCAAAACCCCAAAACCCCAAAACCCCTTTTGAGCAAAATATCATTGAAATTAAATAATTTATCAACCCCTACTGTAAAAATGTGGATGCCATCTTCAAACATGCTATTTTCCAAAAGTGGTAAACCTCTCTTTCAAAATTCAACTTTATTTGCTTTAAGTTACTTCAATCCTTTCTTGGTAATCTTCTTCATATATTTTTGAATAGGCTTGAGACCAAATTACACATTAAAAATGGGACAGCTCTCCGACAGCTCAGTTCTAAACCATAGCACTGTTATTAAAATCTCCAAAAACATGTAAGCCAATTTATAACTCCTGATAGGACTTCAGAGGGATCAGAGATTCCCAAAAATCCTACTCCAAAGACTAGAGAGGAAAAGGGCTTAGTACGTTAACTTCATAGATGGTTGAGTTACACTAAGCTTATGAAATAGTTCAGCTGATATTAATACTTTCTTAAACAAGTCTTAACCTTATTTTAACCCGTTAATAGACTGAACAGGAGATCAAGGGGTATATATCTACCAAATAAGCCAAAGCAAATGTTGATAAAGGAGCTTAACCAGGTAAGTATCATTAATCTGATATCACAGAAACTGGTATGTTCTGAAAAGCCTAAAGAGTCGTTCAAAACTCCTAACCCACTTCAAGAGCTTAACACAGGTAGTATTTGGAATGATCTTCGGATATAGCTCCTGCTAGTCTCAATATTCTGGGCTCGCCTGATACTCTGAAGAACCTAGACATAAAATACTTGTTCAGAGGTTTCCAGAAAAAGCGAGTCAAAGTGAGCCATTATTTTTAAATTTTAGGAAATTTATGAAAAATACAGGAAGACTAGAACCAGAGCAGGTAATATTAATATGAAGATCACTTTTAGCAAGCCCATCTGTTGGAAGATACTCTCCAAATTTTGATTTTGTCAGGAAAAATATCACGAAGAATGTATTCTTCTCATCAAGGTCGCCAGAGCCAGTCTATAAGAGGGCACCCAAGGTACATATACTGCTTTTTCAGCAGTTTTTGACTTTCTTAGAGCCCAAAAAAGATCAGAAATAAGTCTAGGGCGCTCTCTCAGTCAAGGATTGGGCCTAAACTTTTGAAGAGTCCTGTCTCCAAAGGTAATAAACGCAAAAGAAATCAGGGAATTATGAAGCAACCACAGGTTTGTAACAGCTAAATCTTTAGAAATCTGTTAAGATCATCAAGAATTAACTTCAATGGAAATAAGACTTTCGGTGAGATCCTCTCTGACCATATAGGTGGAGGTCACTTCTTTAAGCTAGGTGAGGTACATGAGAAGCGGTTTGAGTACCTACCAATCCCAAAAATATCAACTAAGCATCGACGAATTAGCAAGGTGAGGAGAAACCATGTGACTATGTATAGAAAATTGACTTAGAAAAGCAGATTCCAAGGAAACCCTTATTTAATATTAAGCAAAGTCCTCCTCAGCAGCTTGATCTTAAGCCAGTTGTAAATACTTATTGAACTTTAGTCCTCGCCTGTTCGGAAATCCAGGACAAGGAAAGCTACGAAGACAAATAAGGATAGAGCAGGGATTGAGATATACAATTCATTTGATTTCGCTACTAGGCTAGTAAACATAATCCCTCATGTTTAGCGAGCTTTCAGTGTGTCTCCCTCCCGATCTTTCAAGGCAGAGTATTGGAAAAAGTTCCGAGGTACTGAGAGGCCTCGAAGGATGGACAATCTTGCTTACCCAAAATAAGTGCTAATATTCAAATTTAATGTGAAAATTAGGGGTTTTGGGGTTTTGGGGTTTTGGGG